TTGTTGTCCTTTCTATACAAAAAATAAAATTCAGTTGTTTGCAATTTAATATGACCAGCACATGTTTTAATTTTTCAGGTATTTCTTTAAAAATGGCATTTTCAGTATTAAAACTTCAACATTTACTGAATTTGCTGCTGTTAAATCCACCTGCTATCCAAAAAGTTTGGAACAACTTGTTTTTTTCTTTTTTCATAACACCCTTTTACTGGATACCTATCCTGAATGATCCCCCATGTTCTTGGTGTGGTCAATAAAAATTTCTTTAGAAAAGTACTATCTTATGCTAGTTCAAAAGTTTTAAAGAAATGAGCTCATGTTCATGAGTTGATACCTTTCAGAATAGTTGTTTTCTGATTTTTTTGTTTGCCTTTTTCAGCAGAACCATCTTTGTCATTTTTAATATAAATGCAGGGTGAACACATGTGAATCAGTATGAAGTAGGTGCTGGACTAGGGTTTCTAATTGTAATGACTCATTTCCTATCTCACCACTTTCAAAGCTTAGTCTCAAAAATACTGAATAATTTCAGTTGAGATAGAAAATGCGTGAAGTTTGAGCTACTTAGTATGAGAAATTGAAATTGAGAGACTCAGAGGCCATAGGAGTAGAAGTTGATAGTACAGTATCTGAGTCATCCTTAGAGATTAATAGTATACCAGCTTTCTTTTGTAGTGACTCAAGCTCCAAGCTCCAAGGCAGACTTACCTTCATGTCCCAGCACCACTATCTTCAATTCCAAGCTGTTCTTTTTCTGAAAAGCTTTCTGTGGTGTTTATACAGAGAAAAAAAGACAACTGCATTAGGGAGAATGCATTGCTATAGGAAATAGTCACTGCATAGTTAGCAAATATTTAAGTTAGCAAACACAGTAGCTAAGAGCATAGTCTCTGATACTGGAATGCCTGAGTCAAAGAGCCAGATTTCTCTATGAACTCACTGTGTGATTTTAATAAAATAACTTTATCCACACCAATCTATAATCCATAGATAATTTCATTATCTATAAAAGGACAAAATAGTAGCACTTACTTTGCAATGTTATGATAAGATTAATACACAAATAGATGTAAAATCTTGCACAGGGTAGTCAGATATTAAATATGCTTATTAGATATGGTCCTATCTTTGTGAAATCAGAACTACTGATTTATCATGAGGAAAAATTCCTTCTCTGTACCATAAAATGGATTTTTCCCCCCTCAGGTGGCTCCAGTCTAAAGCACTTTATTGACTCATAGTTAATCTTTATGGAAATTCTGGCAATCATGTTTCTGAAAGGAATTTAATGATGTGTATAAGCATACTTGTTGTTTTTAGTTGCCTAACAAAAAATTTCATGCAGATGCTTAGGTCCTCTCATTGAGCCCTATTAGTTTAAAGGGAAGTGACTAACCAGAAGATGTTACCAAATCTCCTAATCTCTGTCTGTTGGCAAGCTGTCGATCATGACTGAATTGATGTTGTGAAGATTAAAGTTCATAATTATGAATGCAAGAAGTGTAAATATTACTTTGGGACTAGGCTTTATAAATCTTTAAACCAATAGTCTTTACAACCCAGTGTAGTTCAGTACTCCAAGATGACTTACTTATACCCATTCATTGACCTTTTATTTTCCTAAACTTTCAAACAACATGAAAAGGATATGGGGTGAGAAAGGACTTCGCTAGTCATGAATAACCTTGCTTCTCACATTTATCCTTTGACAAATGAAGCCTGCTAACACAATTTAAACAACAGCTATTTAACAGATATATTTAATTTTGTATGACTTTTACTTGAGAAATTGTAATTTAGTTCTTCACAATCTGTTTTTATGGATTTGTTATGGTTAAATTCAACTAGTTTTATATTCTGCTTTTCTCTTTGGAACACTGTTGGTAATATTAATGTCATAAATAGTGAGGTAATATATTATCCCAAGCAAGGATTGTAACTGATTACTTACAATTAATTTTACAGCACATTTAAAATATGTATTTAATGATTCTTAATAGTTGAATGGAAAATACATTACATGTGAAGTTTTTTTAAAAGTGCTTCTCAGTCTTGCATTTTTTTGTTCATTTGAGGCAGTGCATTTCAGCTATAAAGTATATAAGTCTGTTTTAGCCAAAAAAGAGAAACCACACCTTTCCAAGCTATAAAATATACAGAATTGAAAGTTAGTACCTAATATATTTTTCATTAGATACAGATGTTCCATGTAAAATTTTTTCTTCAAGTGTTCATGAAAAGCAGGATAACTAAAAATCTTCAAGGATAAAGCAGAAAAAATAAAAGCTCATACTTTTTGGTAAATTGCTAATGGCTTTTTAATGAAAGCCATTTTTTCTTTTCATAATTTGTAATTTCTTTTATGTTTATTAGAATCATCTAGTCACCTAAAATTATGATAGGAATCTTTAAATTGCCATAGAGCTTAATGAAATAAAAATACTTAAAGTTCTTTTCCATGCATAGAGAATTTTACAAGTAATTTAGAAAGGAATTATTCAACAATTTAGTGTAAAGTCTACCTTCTTTATCTTGAAATTAATATACATTTGAATAAATTGATAATTTTAAGAAATTATTTCTAATATTTACTTTTCATAATTTTTCAAACTAACTTTCTTACAATTGTGAGCAAATGAAGACCAATATAGTGAGTGCACAGTATTATCTGTTGTGTTTGCATTTTTGTGTCTTGAGACTACAACTTTCATTTCTGATTGTGTTGAACTGCATGCAATTTTGAAATACAAGTAGTTCTGCACAGGGTGACCTCTGTGGTCCGTATTGAGAGCTACTGATGTTTTACCACATGCAGAAGTCATTATCTTAACTAGGGACTAAAATGCAAACTATCCAGTAGGGAACAAAGAACATTAAAAAGTAATTCTTTTCCCCTCTTTATATATCCTTCCCCAAAAAGTTAAAAAAAAATTAAACAGATTTTTCTTGAAATCCACCTATGTTAGATATTATCAGTTTAAGTAAATAACTTATCTGTGGTTCCAGTTAGGTTATAGTTAAGTGTTCATGGAATTGAGCTACCTGCATTTACCTTAAGATAAAAAACAAGTCTATGGGAATCTCAGTATAAATCTTTAAAACACTTCTTATTGTTTTGTTTTTAAGTGACCTACTTTTCACAAAAATAATACCCACTGTTCATCAAAGTTTTCCAGTAGCTTATTTCTTCATTTCTTAATTCACGTGCTCATGGAACACATTTACTAGTACTTACTGTGTGAATATTATTATGCTCGACGCTAGGAGATTTCTTTAAGAAAAGTAGATCTCAAGTTGTTTATATAATACAAGAGACACAACATTACACAAAACATTTTTAAAACATGCCAAAGTAAGTGATATGCATGAGAATGACTATATAGAAAATAGATCAGTGTCCACTGGCAGAATCTCTTTTTGGAACAGTGATTAAAGGAAAGATGGAAATGGAAATTGACCAGGAAAATAGATGGTAAGACTCTGAAGGCAGTGGCCATGACAGGCACAAAAGCATAGCAGTAGAAACAGAAAGGTTTGTGAGTAAGATCCGTGAAGGCAGTGACCATGAGGTAGACATAGAGATGTAAGGTTAAAAAATTGGGTTCCAAGCACATTGTGAGACCATGGGTGGTGTTTTGCAATATTAATTTAACAGTTAACATCATATGCATTGGAAAGAGAAGTTGTAGACACAGAAAATCGTCATTAGTTTTGTTGCTAGAGAGTTAGTATCAGATCTTTATTAAGATTATAACATGAGAAGAATGGAAGCTTGAATCCACAGGATTTGTGACTTACATGTTATAGGAAATTATGGTTGCAGAAATGAAATATTCTGAAACTTAGAGAAATAAGAAACCAAGAACAGGAGAGGGCTTTGAGAAAGATCAGTTTTGTGGGAACATGTAAGAAATCAATTGCTGGCTAGAGCTAAGGGATGAAGGAATCCTGTGTGACAGCTAAAGGGTATAGAGTTTCACTGAGGGATGATAAAAATGTTCTAAAATTATAGTGATGGTGTATAACTCTGTGAATATACTAAAAGCCATTGAATGAAATTGGTGAATTGTAAGGTATATGAGGTGGATCTTAGTAAAGCTGTTACAAAAATGAATGGAAAAAAAATAAAAATGTACATTAGGGACCATATTAGAGAAACTAAAAATGACCTTTAATAGGAATCCAGTTAAATGTTAGAGATAACAAATAGTTAAATCTGTTTATAAGTGCAGTAGTTGAAGCTGTCAGGATACTTGAGAAAAGAGAGGGGAAAAAAGACAGAAATTTGAACTTAATAATTTTATAGCTCAAGGGCTGTGATAGAAGAGGATTAAATTAAAAAGGGATTAAAAAGGGATTTTTGAAACCTAGGGTTTATCGTTTACATTAAGTTTGTCTATATCTTAATCAGGAAAGCTAGATAAATAGAACTTAGAGATGTGGTTTTTATGCCTTGGCCATGATATTAAGACTGCCAGTGGTTCTATTCTATTATGTGCCGTGGTTCTATTTTAAATTAAAGAGTCTGTAGTGTTCTTATAAGCAGACACAACGAATACAAAATGCTCTCAGGGCCAAAGTAGATGAATGGGTTTATGAAGGATGAGAACTGAATGAGTCAGAAAGGACAAACTGAATAAACCCTGGTAAGGTAGGTTCTTTGAGTTTCATTGACTGATTGATTTTTATTTCCTCTGATTGCTAAATGGTGGGGCTCTTTCACCCAGGATTTGTCATTTGTCACCTTTACTGTGAAATAAAAATTTTATACATTTGTAACTGTATTATATACATATAAAATGTCAAGTTTCTTACAATCAAATGAAAGCATAAAATTGCAAAGAATCCATTCCTTATGTAAGTTCCTATCTCAGGTAAGTAACTCAGCTGCAATAGAAATTTTAGTGATATGATTATGTCAAGTATGTACCTTAGCATGAATCTGACATTTATGTTAGGGAATGGTTATGCTTTTATAATTCTCTTTTTTGTTATTTCAGGGAAGGAGATTACAGCAGAAACTTTTATGGAGAAGTTGGATAATGGTGCCTTGCTCTGTCAACTTGCAGCAACTGTGCAGGAGAAATTCAAAGAGAGCATTGATGCCAACAAACCCACAAAGGTAAAGATCCCAGTGCAGAAGTCATGGATGAGAGCCACATAACATGTGCAGGTGCTTGTGAGCTGAGTGGAATGTGAGAATTTATTGTTAATGGGTGCATCAAGGTTCATTCTCAAAGCATATCTTTTATTTAGGTAACATGTTATTTATACTTTCATTACTTAAATTACATAATCCTTTTGGTAAGTCTAGTTAAATAAAAGGCTGTAGAAAATGATGATATCAAAATAGTACCCTGTATAAACTGGTTGAATTTGATGTATCGATTAAAAATGTAGCAGAGAAATCACTCATGTCATCAGGCAGTGAATAAAATCTAGCTAAGAAAGGTTTACTGTATAGATCTTTGTTTTCACAAACAGCAGAATATTGCAATAAAATATCTGCAGAGTAATTTCGTGTTTACTTTAAATAAGTAGTAGCATTGAACTAAGTAATTTTGGATACATTACATTATTTCTGGTTGCTCAGACTTCCCTTTTGTACATTAGTTCTAATATTCTTTAGTTATAAACATGATAAAAATATGAGGTTTTGGACGTAATAGTATTTGAACTCAGGACCTTGTGCTTGCTAGGCAAGCACTCAACCACTTGAACTATACCTCACGTGGCTTACTTATTTTTCAGAAAGGGTCCTGCTTATTTGCACCAGTCAACTCTGATATAACTGGGTTTTCAGGCATGTACCACCATACCTGGCTTGTTTGTTGACGTAGTGTCTCTCTATCTTTTTGCCCAGACTGGCCTTGAATTGTGATCCTCCTGTCTCCCAAGTAGCTGGAAATATAGGTGTGAGCCACTGTGCCTGGTATTTTGGGCTAAGGAGGTATTTTTGAAATAAATAAGGCAGATGATACTTTTTTGTAATTATCAATATATAAGGAAAATAAATAAGAAAAATAAGATTAAAATAATCTTATTGAATCTTGTTGAATACTGTTAAAATAAAATAGAACAGAATGAAAAACAACTGTTAAATTGTTTCTTCAATCCTGGCAGAACAAAGTGAAAGTGGTGTGTGTATGTGAGCACTGGAACTGTACTTGGTTTGGAGATATTTTATATCAGTCTGTAAAGTATAGGATAATATACAACCCCTCTCCACTTTTTCACCTTAAAAGTAACCCAAAACATGATAGCATTTGATGTCCCCACTGCAGAAGAACTAATATAGAAACCTTAAAGCAACAGAGGTCAATATGAGAAGGGGATCAGGAACTAGTGAAAAGGTCAGTGAGAGATGAATCAACTTGAGATGTAACACATTTGTACATGGAAGCAATGTTAGGAATCTCTCTGTATAGCTATCTTTAACCAGCAAAAATGCTTTGTCTTTCTTATTATTGCTTATACTTTCTCTTCAACAAAATTAGAGATAAGGGCAGAAAAGATTCTGCCTGGAAGCAAGGAGTGGGAGGGGGAGGAAGGGGAAGAAATGGCCTAAACAATGTATGCACATATGAATAAACGAATAAAAAAAGTAGCTCTGTCAAAATTTGCTGCTGCACAGAGGAATTGCCTGAGCATCATTAAAAAATTGTGAGACTGTCTCCCATGCCTGAATTCATTGAATCCCATAGAGTGCAACTTGGACAGAAGACTATAATGCTCAGGTAAGTTAGTAATCACTGCATTCTGCCCCATGCCCTATTTTCCCCTCCATTGGATGGATGCAGATTGCAGGTGATTTGTGCAAGATCATCTGGCTATGAAGTAACTGAATAAGAATTTGACACAAGCATCCTCTTTCCAAGTCCTGTGCTCTCTCCTTTTGGTTCACTATGGATGGCACAGGGAGAGACTGTTTATGAAAGTGCTTCATGTCTAGCTTAACATGAGGATACCAATTTTTCTGTTCTGGTTTCCATTGTGATGTAATGGACCTCTATTTCAGATTACTGATGAGAAAACAAAATGCCTAATAGATAGTTAATTTGTTTGGAGAGTTTACTGTAAAGCCATTAACAAAGGGAAAAGGGTGTTGTGACTAGACTTTATTGAGAACATAGGTTCTGAAACCTGTACTTGTATTGATTGTGGTTGAGAACAGAAAGCTCAAGGTTAGAATCTAATCCTCCATTGTAGTAGAGGGTAAACCCTGTTACATTGAGGGTACACATGTCTGATTGGTTTGGTTTTGGAAATCTTACCTTTAAAGCAGAAGCAAATATCCTCAAATACAACTATAATTATAAGACTGTCAAGTATAAGACAGGCTTAAAGCATTAGCCTATAGTACAATGTCTTTTCATTCAGTCTATTTTGCTTAAAGTCTAATTTTGTTGTTTATTAATTGGTTAAGTCTGAGTCTTAGGTTCCTTATCTGTAAAATAAGATGAGCAATTACATTTATTACACAAAAATATTCTTGATAAATATTATCTCCCTTTCCTACATGAAAGAGGTTAACAGACTCTGATGAGAACTTTAGATTAACTAGAAGAAAGAATTTTACAAATGTTCATATTTAGCATGAAAGCTTCCATGTGCAAATATGCAGATATTTTCCCCAAATCTTCAGGCTCACTTATAAGTAATATAAAGAACATTTGTGGGTCAATATTTTGATAACTGTTTTCCTTTAAAACATTTACTTCAATATAATATAATTTTATAATAAAAACACAAAATGTAAAAATGAGCAAAGGAAAAATTCTTTTCAATCTGAGTATAACTGGAGTAAGATTTATTAAACTTGAAATATTTCCTCAACCTTGGATCTTTCCAAAAAAACTATTTTGTTTAGTTGAATATAAAGCTAAAATTTATTTTGATTATGATAAATTTATTGTGTTATAAAAACGTGCCTGTGTTCATTAAACAAGATCAGGTCTTAAATATCCGTTACAACTTCTCCTTCAGTGCTCAAAAATTCAAATTTGATGAGTTTGGAGTTGACACAATTGCTTCTGACCGAGTTGTTCTTGGCAGCATTTATGTATTTCACTAGTGACTTCCAATGACTTGTAGCTTAAGTCAAAATAGCATGTGCCTTACTATATGAGACATTCAAAAATAGCTTTTTTCTACATTTTATGAGGAATTTTCAAAAGATGACAAACCAAGTGGTTAATATCATCATGGAAATTATTGTTCATAAATATATTTTTGTCAGACTCATGGTTCTCACTCTCCATAAACAAAAAATTGTTATATGTGATTGTATACCATTTTTATTTTTAAATTTAGATGTATATTAAGCAATAACAAATGGATGAGCACCTACGTATTTAGAACTACACTGAATAGTTCTCATAGAGAAAAGAGAAGTTTTCAATTATGTATAAATAATTATTGAGTTACAGTATCAAGTTGTGTGTGTGTGTGTGTGTATCTTGGCATACTGAAATTCACAAATAATGATGATAAAGGTAGATGAATTGGTCAGTCTTTCTCTGAAATAGTAAATGTCCATAAAGGAAGATGATGAAACAGAATTATTTTAAAAACTCAGCAAAAAAGTTGAGTTCATCTAAAAGTATATTACAGGAAACCCTTTGTAGTTTTCTTCTAGCAGCTTAAATTTCAGCTTTTTATTTTCATAACAGTATTTTTACCTTTTCTGATTGATAGTTTATTTGGAAGTTTTACAGCTGTGTAAACACATTTGAACAAGTGAGTTATGCCTGGTACATGTGAAGTGGGTCTATGTTAAGAATGATTTAAGTGCTCTTAATATTTGAAAGCACATTTTAATATATGTTAAAAAGTTTATATGCTTAATACTTTAGCTACAAAACTATGACTCTTTTATAATTTTCTCTGGTTAGATAAAGTAATACAAATGTCAAGAACTATTCTGCGTTTTTCTCTAGGCATAAGTAGATCAATTTAAAAACAGCCTCTTTAACTGTGTTAGCAATTTAACTTTTGCTCACTCAGTGTAGATGCAATGTAGAGACAACAGAATTAAACAGTAGATGGATGAAAATGTTTGAGAACACTGAATAGTAGTCTAATGCAAAAATTGATTTAGTTAGCTTGTATATCAACATGTGATAAATTCATTACAGTTATCAATCTTAATATTTCTGAAGTTGAAGATCTTTAATGGAATAATCTAAATCTAACCTTTCCAATTAAGATGAGAAAACCTAAAAAAAATGAGTGGTCCCAATTTAGGTTTTATACACTCGGCCCTAAATTTGGTACCTCTTATTAAGACAGAATAAATACTGCATGTGCAGGCATTGTGTGCCTGAACTTTAACTTCCTAGACCAAATAGAGTTCAACTGTAATGGACCGCTTCGTATTTTATATTTACTCTGTTCTTTTTCTACCAGCCACAACTTTGCCGGTTTGTATATAAGACTCTCTCAAGCACGGGGGTGTCAACACAGGGCAAGACATTCAAAGGGTTCAACCTTTCTTTTTCTTTTAAACATTCCTTTCCATTTATCTCATTTATTTTGAGAGGCTCTGTCTCAGACATCAGAGTTCCTCTGGGTTCAGAGCTTCCTTTAACTTCAAAGGGCCCTGGAAGGTTAGATCAGGTTTGAAGCACATGAAGAAGAAGAAGAAAAAAGAAGTTCTGTTACCTAGTAGAATGCTACATTATACTCCAAGGAAGGAACTGGACATTCACCATCAAAATGTAGAATCCAATCCTTGTTCGGGGAAAGAACATCCTAGTCAGATAGAATGCCTGTCAGACATTTGCCCATCAAGAATACCTAATTCCCTGAGCTGCAAGATAACAATACCTCAGGATGTTGCATTATCTGGGAATTAAATAATACATACAGATTAGTATTTTTCTTCTCCAAAAAATAGCACTTTTTATCCAGGGATTTGTGTTTACTGCTGATAACAAGAAAATGTGGTAAAGAGAAAGGATTTTTTGATGAAAAGAACAGGAAATCACAGCAGTAGTTAATCAGAAGTCATTCATAACTAATTATGTATAATTGTATGTATTTAAATAATTTTAGAAGACATTATAGCTTAGTGAGAGAGCACTAACTTACATGTGTGAGGACCAAGCTTTGAAACCCAGC